CGTGACCCAGGGTGTCAACTATTTTTACGTTTTTTTTTTTTCCTTTTCTTTTTTTCTTTTTCCTTTACCTCCTTATCCTCTTTCCCTCTTTCCCTCTTTCTCTCGTTTTCTCAATTTAATCTTTTCTTCCTTCATTTCTGACGTACACACACACACACACACACAAACACACACATACACACACTTGGATATATTTTTCTCAGTGGTCGTCGTCGTATCGCTTCTCTGTCATTTCCATTGAAAACATTGTGAGGGGGTGTTTGTGGTGGTGGTTGGCGGGGGTGGGGGGTGGTGCCACCTAAGTGGAACGAACGGATGCGGACAAAGTGCGCTTTTCAAACACGTATCGATGTGTTCGAGCATACAATTTCACTTTTAATTGTAAAGCCAAATGAACTTGCCTTTAACGTTTAATCCTTTCGAATGCGCAATTGAAATAGCAGTTATTTTTTTTTTTTTTTATCGAATGACACAGCGTGTTTTTGTTAACTAAGCGAGAAGAGAGAGAGAGAGAAAGAGAGAAAGATAACGAAGAAAATGAATTATTACGTCTAACGAAAGTATATTTATTTATTTATTTATTTATTATGAAATATAATGAAGAAAAATATTGCTATGAAAGTGGGTAAAAATGTGATTACGATTTTAGGACGAATGAAAAAAAATACTACTTTTAGGATGGTAGAATAAATACCACCTTACTTCGGTATTTCTTTTCGATTTTTAATAAATCACGTTCGGTCTCCGGAATCGATGAGTTTCACGGTAGAGTAAACAGCGTAATATATATATAGATATATATATATTTGATAGGTAGGGTAGAAATTTTCGGAGTACAGTTTAGGAAAAAGAAAAAGAAATATAGATCAGCAATAATAGAGGACGACGAGAAGTATAAATTCTGTTCCTTTGTTTTTTGTTTTTTTTTTATTTCGTTTCTTCTAAATTATTTTCTCTTTCGTTACTCGAACCTTTTATTTGTTTTTTTTCCCAATTGCATAAATAAATCAAGATTTAAAGTCGTAGATATATTATGTGTATTTGGATTTTCAAATGGTGCTTTTTCCATAGTTCAGTTAGAAACTCATCTTCGTGAAGAAGTTGAAGTAAGATACATTTCAGGTCGAGTGACTGCATATTTTACGAATGATTCCGTATTACCTTAGAGAAGTTTAAAAAAGTAACTTCAGAATATTGTATCTGTAGTTACGTGTTGTAAAGGGGAATATAAAATTCGAATAGGGGAGGGGGTTAATAATGGGACTATCGAATTAAAAGACTCACGTTTAAAATACGAATAAAAGATTCTTTGAAGGAGAGGGTGAGGATGTGTGTGGGGGTGGTTGGTGAAAACGTGGACGAACAAAAAATAAAGATAAATTGATTGCATATATATATAAGAGTCTTGTTTTGTGAAATATATTATATATAATAATAATATGTCGCATATTTTTGAGCAAATATACGAAAGAGATAATACGAACGCGTGAGATGATGTTGATGATGTTCCGAGGAAGATGGCGTAAAAAAGAAAAAAAAAAAAAAAAAGAAAGATCGTAGCAAAAATAGAAAGTCATATTTAAAACGTTGTGTGTATCCGTCGTCCCGTCTCGTCTCCATCCTTGTGTCATTCACGAGAAACGAATAAAAATGGGAGTCAAAGAATTTCAAGGCCGCATATAGATTTTCATCGTCAAATATTCTATTTCGATTTATAGGATCTCGATATCACGGAGATAATCAGTCTCGAAAGACGTAATTAATAGGTAAACCGCTAGATCGATGCCAGAAATTCTCGCGTTAATCAATCAGAGATTTTGGATAACCGAAATGCCAATTCCCATTTCGTAGATGGTGTTCTTCTTGATTGACAGCTTCATTTCTATATATATATATTAGTTTAAATTATTAAATAGAAGATGGCGTGTCTCGATACGATGGATTATTATTATTATTATTTAGGTTTAGTCTCTTTAGGGTACTCGGCCTTTTAAATTCGGTTAACATAGATGAACATCGAGTTTGCATATCGGATTTGCACGGAAAACGCTTCGATCGTTTTGTATGTTCGAAGAACGAGCAGCAGCAGAAGCAGAAGCAAAAGCAAAAGCAAAAGCAGAAGCAGCAGCAGGTAACCGGACCAGGGAGTCCGGCCTTTGCTCGAAAGCAAAGTGCCGAACTAAATATAACTCCGTTAGCAATACTCGGCATGTATCTTACAACAGTAGCCACGTCTTTGTATCTATTAATCGACGTCGACGCCATTGTCAATCAAGCACGAGATTATCCCTTTCGATTTTTATACTTCTTCTTCTTCTTTTTTTTCTATTTTTTTTTTTTTTACGCTCCTCTTGTGTGCGATGATTTTTTCCTTTGCCGTCGTCGTTGGTAGCCAATTAAAAAATATCTCTACGCGATTTAATATATTTACAATCGAAGGACGATTATTACGCCGTAATTGCGTTCTATGGTGTTCTACTATTAGAATATGTGTTTTTTAAATTCCATCATGAGAATGATTTTTATTCTCAAGAAAGAGGAGACATTTTCGCGTATACGCTAATATAATGTAAATCAGAATGACTAAATGGCTAATTCAATTCTGTATTCTCGTTAAAAACAAAACTAAGCCAAATATTAATTTGTTTCGCAAAGATATTCGTACGTACTATTCGAGTTATTTTATGATAAAATTGTAAAGTTACTATTGTACTTGGATACTATCACGAAACAAAATTCAATAAGTTTACTTTATTCGTTAAACAAATTTGTACTAACGACGAAAACAAAGTAGGATTCATTAACGTAGAACTGACTATCATTTCTATCTATAGCAAAATTTATTTCAAATACCGTACCGGACGTTACTTTCTATTTTATCATTATGATTCATTAACATATTCCGTGAAGTGCGTCAGCGAATCATCGACGATGCTCTACCCTAATGACAATTAACTAGTTTGGAAAATGTTTCTTGAAAATAATTGATTGCGTTAAATAAATAAATAAATAAATAAATAAGCTGACAAACGTTAAATGTATTATCAAAGTTATTTAAATGAATTTAGTTGGAGACCAAGTTCACGCATTTTCGCGAGACAAACCTTGTGAACGCGTACGTATAATAGAAGCTTGGTTCACAGGTATAGCATTCTAGTTTTTTGGGCTGACTAAATATAGCACACGTTACCGGCTATAAATCCCAAGCTCCCGGATTCGGCGGGGCTCAGTATGCTGCTCTCCTATTCTGTGCCACCATCTTCTACAAATCGGATTTTGAAGTTTGACCGATGATCGATGATGATAATGCACTCTAGCATTGATCCAACATCCATGGAAAAAAAAAACAAAATAATAGCCATTTATAAAGAAACCGAACGTTTTTTATTCGACTAATCGTCGACGTTTTCAATAAAAAAAACCTTTGCCTATAGAACAATACATTTTTCAAGATTATTCTTAACGATGCCCCCACTGTATAGAATTTTCCCGATAAAAAAAAGAAAATATCCGAATATTCAACGAATCGAAGAAACAAAGTAACAAGGAGGAATAGTAAGGCGAACAAAAGTGGGGGGGGGGAGAAGGTTAGAAAAAAAAGGAATTATAGGTTATAGGAGGGGTGGGTGAATCTGTTGACAAGCTGTGGCATGAAGGAGACGTGCGCTATTGTTCTTTGAAAATAGAGCTAGCAAAATCACTCACCGAAGAAACGCACGTTCTTAATTCTTTGTTAAATCAATTTTTAACTCTATATTTCTAGATATTTTATTGATTTTTGTCTATCATCTGACTGTTCGAGAAAAAACAATGACAAAAGATTGTTGTTCGTCGTTGACCCAGGCCTACGCAAAGTATATCTAATCGACCATACGATTTTTCGCTTGGTATCATTTCCAACCATCGATCGGATAACCAACAAACCGGTTCAGAAATTTTCCTATCGAAGCTCACGCAACTTTTGATATTCCAATATTCTAAGCTAGCTAGCTAGCTAGAATAGATGTTTGTCAATTTAAATGACTCCAACTTTATATTTATCGTCCGGGATTATACTTTATTTTTTTTTTCATCTAACTATGGGATGAGGGGGATGCGCAACGATGAAAAGGTCATACATACGCGTCTGGGATTAATACTACTATGAGTTGCTCGTCGCGTGGTGATTCGAGGAAAGGCCATGTCAGGGGGATCCTGTTAAGAGTGTCTTGTATTTTCTGCGGCCACGTTCGTACGCTCTTTGAAATTCTCAAAGGGGTAATTGCATCGTTTGAACGTTGCCACCCTTTAGTGGCCTAGATATTTTCTCGTTCTTTCTTTTATCACTCTACTCGGATAGAGAGAGAGAGAGAGAGAGAGAGCTAACGCAAATCTAACGTAATTTCCAACGCAATGGAAACCCGTAATAGCTAACTAGCCACCGTGTACAATATTACTCTCTCTCTATCTCTCTCTCTTCTTTTACATCTCGCACGACGATTATTTATTATTACTTTTCCGATAGAAATTCACGTAGAGAAATATAATAATAATAATATACACGTCGAGTCGTATCTACAAATTGAAACGAAAGTTATCGCACGCAGAGTGGTAAGTGGATGGCTGAATTGGTTTGTTAATAAAGTTTCATTTAAATTCACACACGTGCATACGTAGGTCGGTAAAATTGAAAATATTTTATTAAAATCGGGCCACGATTTCTTGGCACGTGTCGAGTTTCCGTTTGGTAGTTTTCGCCTCTTAACAAGTTCCACTCGCGTCAAGCAGGTAGGACACATGGAGTGTGTTGTGTGACCTGTTGATTGGATCGAATTAGAGTGGTACGCGAAAGAGGGAGACCACTTTGCATGAATATGTATGTTGGAAGAAAGATATAGATTTTGTGGTGGATTTGAGTGGACTATACATACTTTTTTCTTTCCGGATTATCGCGGGAAGTTTTAATAAGAAATAGTAATAAATAATATATTATATTAATAATGATTGGATAAATGTTACAGGTCAGGGAGGAAGGTTCGTAGGAGCCCAGTGCCGTAGCATGCCGGCGTGCTGGGTGAGCCGTTGGTGCGCTATTGAGTCAGCCGTGGTGGTGGTGGTGGTGGTGGTGAAACAGTCCCTTGAGAAGGGTACTCGTCGAATAATCAGTAACAGCGGTAGAAGCGTAAAAAGCATAAGGACCAGAAGCAGGAGCAGGAGCAGGAGGAGGAGTAGAAGAAGAAGAATAAGGAGCGATCTCGGCTGGAGGAGCAGCACGGAGCTCGACACTTCGGACCGATGAGCGCGGGGGGGGATGGGAGCTCGGCATTGGTTCCCTCAGGGGTGCCGGGCTCCCAGCCAATGGCCGCGACCCCTTCGACCGCGACCCCCCCCCACACCGGCGCGGTCCGTTCCTCCGCGAGCCCTGGCCCAGCCGGTGCCCCCGGTCCTCCCACCGGTCCACCGACCGGGCCCCCCCCGACCGCCGGTGCTGCTGCTCCCAAGGCCGCGGCCAAAAGGCCCGCCCGTCGCGCTGGCAAACCACCGCCCGACAGGCCTACCAGGGCCCTATTTTGTCTACCCCTTAAAAATCCCCTTAGAAAACTCTGCATCGGTGTCGTCGAATGGAAGTATCCTTTCTTATTTTCAAATGACTTATTGAAGTTATACTTATTTTCGGCGCGTTTTGGAAAAGTGAAGTTAAATACGCGACCGAAAAATCGACACCACGAAGTTGTCGATATTTACGATGCGCGGGAAAATTGAAATTATTATTGAGGTTATATTCGTTTTGGTACGCTAAAAAAGTATAATTTCTTACGTGTGTACATAAATATACACATCAGTTTTTGAAGTTATACTTCTTTTGGCGCGTTTTGGAGGAGTGAAGTTAGATATGCGACCGAAAAATCGACACCACGAAGTTGTCGATATTTACGATGCGCGGGAAAATTGAAATTATTTTTGAGGTTATATTCGTTTTGGTACGATAAAGAAGTATAACTTCTTACGTGCGTACATAATTACACACATCAGTTTTTTTTTTTTTTTATATATAAATACATTCGCCGATTGACCTCCGGATCATTCGAAAATATTCCAATGAAAAAATATTCAAAGCATATTATATAACTTGGATATTTAAAAATGCAATGGAGTCCAATGGGTGCGTGGATGCGAAATGAAATGACCATGAATTTCGTTTGAAACGGGCTAGTGCGAGTCACGAAGAAATATCTGCCTGTATGACCGCATTTTCGCGATGCCCTCCTCCACCGCCCCCCCCCTTGTCTGCATTTATGAAGACGTTTTTAAGATATTATCTCGCATTTGAATACGTAAATACATATGATAGAATTTTCCTTTGGCAAAATGGGACGTGGGGGTAAGAAAAGAATAAACCTAAGCTTAGCAGAATTCTTTATTACTTACGACGGCCAATAATAATAATAATAAAAAAAAAGAATTTCTGCATGATTGCAAGGATCTATCAAGCGAGAAAGTATTAATCAGGAAAGAAATATCTTGATTAAAAATAATCTTTTGACATTTGTAATTTTCCTTAATAAGAATCTTTTAACACAGACCCTTCGAATGGCTCATCTTGATGACGATATTTGCAAATTGCATTGCTTTGGCCTTCTACACGCCGTATCCATTTGGTGATTCCAATCAGACCAACCAATATTTGGTAAGTACTCATTGTAAAGTTGATTATTAACTTTCTAACGGAATTCTGGGATCGTATCAAAGGTCATGTACGTGATAGTAACATAGGAAAAACTGAATAAAAGTAGAAGGAAAGAATATAGAAGAAAAGAAAAGAAAACAAAAGAAAACAAAACAAAAAAATAAAAAAAAAAAAACAAAGAAATGTAGATGTGTAACTATAATAACGAGTAGGAAAGTAATAGTTCCGTTCGTCGAACCGTTCGTATGTGCCGCTTTATCGATTACGAGAGGGCAGGGTTCGTGGCACGAAAGTCGTTCGAGCTTAAAGTTCAATAATTGTTCAATCTTGTCGGCATCGGTGTGCATCCTACCGCACAGTAATTGGATAGCACAATACGACGCGTCTACGGTGGATACATCAGAGACCCGACAAAAGAAATACAATATTTCTTAACCTTACTCTTGGGATGCATTAAAATGGTTTACAATCGGCTTTTACCGTTCTGCGGCGGAAAAAAAAAACAAACTCTTACATTGGAACAGGAAAAAAAAACATATGGGAAAACGCATTCGATGTCAAATCCCCCACACACCCCCTCCCTATCCATCTATTTATTTATCTATTTATTTATCTATCTATCTACCTATATCGTACATATGTAGAGATGCATACTACCTTTCAAGAATGCAATTTTCCCTTCTTTCGCTCAGATACCTGTGTTACTTTTCATTAGTTCGGCTCACTGACTAAAATAAGTTTTTCTTTTTTATATGACACGGTTGGCTCTATAAAGGTGCCTGCCTATCTTTGTAAAAGATTAAAAATATCGCGCACATGTGTTGTCACGTATATATATAGTATATATTGTATATATATATATATATATGTGTGTGTATACTAATGGTCAAGAAGGTTTAAAAACGCGATTAACGGTTAAGAACGCTTTCTTTCTATCGAAAAATCGATGGCCTTTCATACATATTCTTGGGGGGAAGGGGTTGTACGACAACGCACGATACTTCGAACGCGTAGGTTGTACGGATGTTTACACCCTCGCAAATAACCTGACGTGTTCTTGATATTAATACGTCACACACACACACACACACACACACAGATGCACACACGATTCGTACGTATGATAAAATGGAAAATCAATTCTACCAAAGAACACACGATGGTTTTATCAACATTTAAATCGATTTTTATTGTCGATTTATCATTGATACTTTCGAGTGTTAATAAAATTATTTTCATTACAGGAAAAAATAGAATACGTATTTCTCGTGATATTTACGGCCGAGTGCATAATGAAGATCATAGCTTATGGATTCGTCGCCCATCCGGGTGCATATCTAAGAAACGGCTGGAACGTGCTTGATTTTACGATAGTCGTCATAGGGTGAGTTTTATTCTTTAGCATTTATTTTCAGTTTAAAAAAAGAACTCGTAACTCCCCCACCGCCCCCCGCGGCTCCGCCAATTATTTTTCCATAAGAAAGATAATTATATCGATGAATAATTCGAATAAGTATGGTTATTAAATCGTTGCAAATTGAAGTAAATGAAGTAGGGGGGTGTCTATTATTGATTCTAATCTAATTGGTCAAACATGATAACGATCGATAGGGTTGCGCACGACGGTGTGTGTATTTTATGCGCGATGCTGACTTCAAAAGAAGTATAAAAATAGACATTCTTCTAATTCCCGCAAAAGCATACAATCATATAAGATTCCTATCGTGGTTACTTTGTATTTCGATAATTGAATTAATAAACGCGCGCGAGCGCTTTCTTCTAATATAACTCGGTAGTTTCTTATGAAATCCTTTCCGTTGAATCGTAGTGATTTACTTACGCGGGAAATAAGAAAAAAAAAAAGACGATTCTTGGCGATTCTTCGTCTCGTCGCGATTGCTAAAGAAAAAGAAAAAAAAAATAATATATCAAGGACGCAATAGGATTGCAGCAGTCGTCTTGGTTACGAACGATAGATAGATAGATGGTAAGGGTTAGAAACGAAGAAAAACTTTTCACGACGTCGTAAAACACCATAGATGACAAAATCTAATGCAAGAAAACTTGCTCACGTAACGATGAAAATATCTTCTCTACGAACGTTTTGACATCGTAATGGTGGTGGTGGGGGCGGGGGTCAGGAAACGTTTGAGATTGTTCGATTTTTTACGAATTGTCAAGAATTTTAAGATCAAACTTCGATTTAAAAAAATAAACCCACTGGACGGGGGTGGGGTGGGTAGTAGAAACAATCTTCCCTTTAATAAGATTATTATTACTAATTGTAAAATAATCTTTGTAATATTTGATTGTTCGTAGAATGATGAGTACCGTATTAGCGATGCTTATGAAAGAAGGATTCGATGTTAAAGCGTTGAGAGCTTTTCGAGTTTTACGACCTCTCAGGCTGGTTTCCGGTGTACCAAGTAAGAAAATGCATTTAGAGAATGAATTAATTGTCAAAATATATTATTCTGATTTTTTTGGTGATAATTAAAGTAAAACGGTACGTTTTGTAATGTAATTTCGATTCAACAGGTCTTCAGGTGGTCCTAAACTCCATTTTAAGAGCGATGATCCCGCTCTTGCACATCGCATTGTTGGTACTCTTCGTCATCATCATTTACGCTATCATTGGCCTTGAATTATTTTCTGGAAAGATGCACAAGACTTGTAGGCACAACGTAACTGGTAATGAAGAATTTTGATATTCTTCGAAGAATCATGGAAAATTATTTAGCTAATTAGAATTGTTTCATTTTTGTTTCCATTAGTTTAACTTTGTGTGTGTGTGTCCAACACGACGAATATATTTTTCTTCATTTAAAAGTAAAATAATCTAGCAAATGAAATTATGTCGAGAAACGGGAGGGTAAGGGATCCAAATAAAAAGCATAAAACACAACTTTGACAGGAAACAAACTAGGGGAAAAGGGAAGGGTGGTTAAGGGATAGAAGTTTGGCGCGGAAATCGTTGAAATACTTTTTCAGTTTAACCTGGTAACACAGTTTTCGTGTTAGGTTAGATTTTAAATATGATTCAGTCAGTTTAATTATTCTTATCGGTTAATACGCGTGAGTTCTTAATTCACGCGTATTTTATTATCGGATAAAAACAAGTTGCCCTTACGAGAAAATCATATATATACGAGAGTGATAAATTTGACATAGAGAAAATACATAAGAATAATACTTGTAGAGAAATGAAAAAGAAATGGCGTTACATGGGAAAACCGATAATGGTATGTGCGCGAATATATATATCGGAGAATAAAATGGTGCTGTTGTTCTCAGTGTTCTTGCCAAATTATTTTATCGCAAGTACTAGCTCGAGTTTGAGGGAAACTACGATCGATCGTAGAGTTAATGGGTTCGTAGTAGAGGGAAAGAGAGAGAAACGATAACATCTGACACATTCACATTTTTACGATGATTTTCAGGGATAAAATTTTTTACCAGGAGAACAACGAGACACCAAGAGAAAAAAAAAAAAGAAAAAAAGAAAATTTCGCAATACCCGCGAGAACAAACGTCGTTCCCAGGCGAAACATATTTTTTTTTAGTCGAGATATAATATGATATAACATTAGAACAATTTTTCTATGGGCGACCATTTATCTATTTTGAATGTTTATCCAACGAAATTGGCTAACCAATTGTTGGACAAAATTCGCTTTTTATATTTCGCAGATGAGGTTATGAGCGATCCAGTTCCCTGTGGTCCTATGGGTTTTCAGTGTAGCAACGTTGGTCCCGACTATCACTGCAGCAATCAATTTTGGGAAGGTCCGAACGATGGCATCACCAATTTCGATAATTTTGGTTTAGCCATGCTCACAGTCTTTCAATGCATCACCCTCGAGGGCTGGACCGAGGTACTTTACAATGTAAGTTTTTAACAACCCTTTTTTTCCAACGCGTTCTCGTAGAAAACAAAAGAAACGAATTAAATCCACTCTAGAGTTATTCTCTTTTTCTCTTCTCGTTCTTTTTTTTTCTCTTCTTCTTGTTCTTGTTCTTCTTCTTCTACAGATAGAAGATGCGATGGGAAGTTCTTGGCAATGGATTTATTTTATTTCTATGGTCATACTTGGTGCATTCTTCGTGATGAATTTAATTCTCGGTGTGTTGTCCGGGTAAGTGGATAAACGAAAAATAATAAATATCAATTCGCATGACAAAATCTCGATCATTATTTATAATATAGTAGTATTATTTCTATTCGAAGAAATGATCGTAACTTTTCGAAATAATATAAGCGCGTAAATAAGCCGATTGTAATTTCATATTTACGTGAAAGTATTAAAACCATTTAAAGTATCACAACCACGCGAGTATCGTCTATCGTTGTTTTAGAAGACCTAATAACATCGATTAACTTTTATCATACTCTTTTCAACAGAAATAAAATATTGTACTTTATCGTTGGCATCTCGATATAAAATTTTGTAAATTTTTCAAAATTATTTTCATTTAAAACGATGATACGTTTAATAGATGATATGATACACGTGTAATATCAAACGTATTAAAACGAGTTAGATATCTTCTTTTAAGATACGTACTTGCGTAAGTGTATCTTAAATACGTGCTTCGTAACCTATCCGTCCTGAGGGAGTTTTGTAATCCTCGACTAGGGATGAGATATAAATATCTCTTTCTTTAGGTACCGACACACTCCGTTGCATATCGGCAAAGCAAACGAGCCGATCGATGCGTGAAAACGATATCGACGATAGGCGTTTATTTTCCCTCCCTTTTTACGTTTAACTCGTCGTTCGAGTCCAGATGTATGTATGTATGTATGTATTTATATGTTACCGTCAATGACAGAAATACGTCATTGTTAGTAATTCCTCGGCATTACTATTAATGCAAAGAACCTTCAGACGAAGTCAGAAATTGAAAAATTCTTCCACTTTTTCCTAAGCATCGAACATAATACTTTGATATTCTATAGAATGTCAAATTACTATTTAAACAACGTTGAAAAGAATACGGTAACATATATAGAAGTGTACATACGTATTTGGGAATGTGTTTTTATTCTTGAAATCCTTCTTTAAAATACTAATTGACAACGATTATAAAAAAATCATCCCTTAGGAAAAAAATAGAGAAAGATTTATTTATATTTTCTTTCGGATAATCCTTTGATGGGAATTCATTTGCGTGCTGGACGCATGTTCAATTCGGTTCGGTTCATGTCGTTTGCGTTTTTTTAGTTTGAACGAATAGCCCAATTAACGTTCACTCGAGATCCCTCTAATTGCGATTACAATCCCGTATATATGGATTTTTGTTGGTATTCTTATTGCGAATACTACACACACAACAGGGAGTTCTCTAAGGAAAGAGAAAAGGCCAAGGCTCGTGGTGATTTTCACAAGTTAAGAGAAAAACAACAGATAGAGGATGATCTTCGAGGATATCTCGATTGGATAACACAAGCTGAAGATATCGAACCGGAAGCCGACGAGCCAAAAAATCAAGACGAAAAATGTGAGTAGGATTTCTTCTTCAATAAATTGTTTAACCTATCATCTCGTGAGAAATCCTGATAAAAAAATAGTTATATTCGTTTTTGTCCAGCTAAACAACAAAACGAAATGGAGAGTACCGATCAATTGGAAGGTGACGAGGAGTTCAAAGGTGTTCAACAGGAACCCGTATGGAAAAGAAAGAAACGAGATTTAGATAGGTATTATTACTTTTTTTTTTTGTAATACCATTTCGATCCTTTTTTTCCTAATCGTACATATGTCTATTTGAAATGTTGTTAAAAGTTTTATTTCTTTTATGAATTAATTTCCAGGGTTAATCGACGATTGAGACGAGCCTGTAGAAAAGCTGTCAAATCGCAAGCCTTTTATTGGCTCATCATAGTGCTCGTTTTTTTAAACACCGTAGTTCTCGCGACCGAGCATTACAATCAACCGCATTGGTTGGACGAGTTTCAAGGTAAAACCGATTGCGCGGGGAGAGAATAGTTCTCCGCTTCAAAAAATTAACAACAAAAAGAAAAAAAAAAAAACAAAGAAACTATACGAAAACCCTTCGAACGTTTTCTACTTTGATTTTTCTCCACCCTATCTATCTATCTTTCTTTCTGTTTCTTTCTTTCTCTTTTCCCATTGTTTTTTTTTCTCTTGTGTGTGTTTTTCAATTACAGAGATCACCAACATGTTTTTCATCGCTCTGTTCTCCATGGAGATGATCCTGAAGATGTACAGTTTAGGATTTCAGGTAAAATGTTTTTTCTCATCGTTACTTTTCTATAATTTTTCTTCTTTTTTCTCCCCTCTTTTTTATTCAAATCATAATTTATATGTATATATATTCCTATAGGGTTACTTCGTCTCTTTGTTCAATCGTTTCGATTGTTTCGTCGTAATAGGCTCGATAACCGAGATGATCCTTACGAACACAAATGTAATGCCACCACTCGGAGTTTCCGTGTTACGTTGCGTAAGATTGTTGAGAGTATTCAAAGTAACCAAGTAAGTATCCGTTTGAAAACGTTTGATCATTTAGTTTCCTCTCGTCATAATCCCCATACCCCTACTTTTGTTTATTACTTCTAAAAGATTATTTAAATCCGTTTCATTCGAGTGTTTTGTTATATCAAAAGATCAAATTGAATTGTTTTGATTTTTCCTAGATATTGGAGATCGCTCTCGAACTTGGTGGCTTCTTTGTTGAATTCGATTCAATCAATCGCCTCGCTTTTACTTCTGCTCTTCCTTTTTATCGTCATTTTCGCGCTCTTAGGAATGCAGGTTAGCCATTTGAGATTATTTTTCAGCTTTAGAACGTGTGTACTTTTTTTTTTCCTACGTTTAATATCTTTTTTACAGGTATTCGGGGGAAAGTTTAATTTCGCCGATCTCCAGGACAAACCTCGGCACAATTTCGATAGTTTTTGGCAAAGTTTGCTCACCGTTTTTCAAGTAAGAGAAAATATATAAATAACATATATGTATATTAGCTTCTAACGCGACTTTAATTAACGAAACTAATTGCAAAGTGGACAATTGAAATGTCACGCATAGATAACTGCACCCAACATTTTCGTATTCCTGATAGCGTGCGCGTATCTTTTATCACTTCCCATTAAGAGGGTTTTAACATAGTACTTGAAACAATATTACAACTCGTTCATTATTATATTAGTAGTTGACATGAAAATTAATCTGGTATTTTCTGGTTCCTTTCATTTTTCAGATATTAACAGGTGAGGACTGGAATGCAGTAATGTATGTTGGAATTCGTGCTTATGGGGGTGTTTCTAGTCCCGGTGTTATAGCCTGCACTTATTTCATCGTTCTTTTCATATGCGGTAACTGTATCCTTTTTTCTCGCTAATGACAATAATGATTCTATCAACTATTGATGCTATTATTTTTACAACGTTCAAAGATTATTTTTTATGCAAAGGGAAAAAAAAGCAAGTAAATTAAAACAACGTACATTGACACACACACACACGCGTCCTATTATCAAAAGGATTTTAATAAAAATAAACTTCTAATATTCTCCAAACTATTATTATTCCCGCGCGACAATGAGAATTATTTATTCGTATAATAAAATAGCAGAATTAAATCCTTAACGAACGAAGCAACACAGATATACTTCTGAACGTTTTCTTGGCCATCGCTGTGGACAATCTTGCAGATGCCGAATCGTTAACGGCCATTGAAAAGGAAGCCGAAGAGGAGGTAATTAAATTATATTTTTACAAATGCATCATCTATTTTTTTTTATCTCTCCCCCATAGCCGTGACTTTGAGAAGAGCTTGTATTCTTTTTTTTTTTTGTATTTTCTTTTTTTGACTTATTGTACCTATCCTATCCATCGCGAGTACCTTCGTTTACCTTATGAAACATTAAACGTTCTTGTGTGTTAGCTATGACGATAATGTGTGTCGGTGACAGTGCATAGGAAAAAAAAAAAAAAAAAAAAGAAAATGGAGCGGCAAGTGATCGCTTTTATAGCCATTTATGAAGTTACTATGACACACTTGCATATAATAACTCGACGTCGATGATGTTCGAACCCCGCGCTTGAACGGATTTTTAACGCTCGTTGCGAATCCTTTTCCCATGCATCCCACCGTATTCCATGTAAGCTCGAAACAACTTTACCTACACACACATACATATACACATGTGCACGCATTACTCTACATACGTGGTGATACTAAATATAGATAATCGAGTACGCTGAAGTCTTTGCAATTACAACATAAAATGCTTTAGTAATTTTTCTAACGATTCGCATTTACGAAAATTGAAATTTCGATGCAATGGCTCTCCCCAGCCCCACCCCCATCTACGGATATAATTGAAATGTTAAATTTAATATATAAGTCTCAAAGGGAGTTATAGACGGTTAATAAATCTTATGAACAATTAATTTGAACTAGTTGTA